GACTCACTGATGGCCTTCTGTTAAATGAAAGGCACACACACACACACACACACACACCTACACACACACGCACACACCCACCTCCTTTCACCCCCAGAAGAGTGTGTGCATGTGAGTGTGTGTATGTTTACCTCCTTTTGTGGAAATGCCCTTGGGCAACACACGTGCCCACACCATTTCTAAAGAAGAGTATTCAAACAAATACACACACCTAAGCACCCTTCACCCTACCTGCATGAATAATCTGTTGTGAGTGTGACATGTGAAATTGGATTTGCGCCCCCCAGGACGAGGGGTCTGGTTGCAGGCATCCTGTATTTCTGTGGGAGACGTGTGAGATGAGAGGAACAGACAACAAAAGCACAGGGTAGTAGGGTACTGATCCTTTCACATGGGTTTATTTCTCATAAATCCAGCCTCGCTGTGCAGACTGAGAGGAGGCAACACACTGCATCTGAGTCATCCTGTTTATATTGCTGCCATTGTGGCAACCTTTTAATGCTTATAAACTGTGTGGAGCTATAAATCTGAACCATGCAAGCCCAGACTATTTTGAGAGTTTTGAAAACTTTGTTGAGTAATGGTAGAAGTGACAGCTGGACATGCACAAGCAGGAAGCATATACCAACAATACCAACAGCACAACACAAAAGTGTGGCAGGAAATCTTAATGGAGCTCTGGTGTTGTCCTCTTAACAGGGGACAATCAAAAGCATAAAATAATGGCCACGGCACTGACAAATTGAAAAACTCTATTTCTCCTTTTGGCCCCCTTTCTCCTATTACAGTGGAGAAATAAAGAATAAAATGAATGAAAACAACAATGTAAAATAAGCAACTAAATTGGCTATCAAGGCACACTTTTAGAAGACATATACACACAATTTTGTTCTCGTTTAGAAAGTGAAAACAATGATGCACGCTGCGCTGCGCTGCTCTTAACTCACAGCTTCGCCTATAATGGCGGGGGCTCAGTCGTAATATAGTGCAAGTAATTGCAAAAGAGATGAGGCTGCAAGAATACAGTAGTACCAGCAGAAAATGAGTTTTTCCTAGTTTCACATCTGAAGAAACGACACTAGAACCCCCTCCTTGGATCCACTCAGAGCGACACCATAATGGTGCCGTGATATCAACTCCTTCCCTGTGCTTTTGCATTTGTTTTTTTAGCATCATGTCAGCCTAATAAGCTCAATGGCAGGGTGCGAAGAGAGCAGCTGAGCCTCTCCACGGTGATTACACCTCATCAGCGCTGCCAGGCCATCGCAGGATCATAGACACGCTCTTTAATTTGCAGGGGACAAGGGTGAGACTAGGAGAAGGTGGGTGCAGTAGAGATAGTGACAGGAGGGAGTGTTTCATTTATATGTGTTATCACAGAGCAGAGCAAGGTTTTTGTTGAGAAAGGAGGAGGACAAGCTGCATGGACAAAAGACAGGCTGTTCAAGCCTCCAGCTGGGGAGCTGAGTCATAGTTCAGCTTTGCGCACACGTGCAGGTAAAAGATAATACTGGGTGACAGTCAGGGTCGCAGCATTGCCACAACCAAAGACAGGATGAGAGGTCCACCAGCAGCTGCTGACAGTTTTGTTGCTGCAACGCTTAACACTCGCCCACAAACGCACAAACCTGGATTCAATTCCAGTACTTTTTCACAGATGGGAAGCTGGTGAGGGATCATGTCCACACAGGATGGCCACTGGGGGGATGAAGGCGTGAGTCTGTTCACACAGACATTACCACTGCATTACAAATCACAGGCCCCTCAATCATTGCAGTGAGACCACTGTGTTGACGCAGCAGGGGTCCCAACACACAGAGTCTGTCTGGCAAAAGAAATTAAAGCCTGGCTCAACTTTTGCAGCAACCATATATGATGTCATCCAGCAAAAAACACTTTAATGGCTAATCAAATATGTGCAAGAACACATTCTTAGATAACTATATCAGAAATGGCGTGACTATACTGTTTACCTCTCGATTGACAACTTTCTATAGATTAAAAAAAAACCTTCCTTTTACCCACTCTGCAGTGTTTCGACATCAGGTAAGCTTTCAAACTGTATGTATTACTCAAACCAGACCTCCAGGTTTATATTTTATCATCTCACCAGTACCTGAAAGAACATACTCCCACCAACGCTGCCCTTGGTTTTTTTTTTTAATGCAGTGCTGTTCGGTCTGAATGCCCTGGAAGACTGGGAGGTGAGGAACTGCTGTGAACAGCATGTGTTAATGCATTTATGAAGTTTCTCACTGGAAAGTGAAAAGAAGGGAAAACTTAATGTGTATCCGAGAAAAAAAATGGATGTCGAAACCCTCCCCAAGCCAACAATAGTGTTAGCAGTGGCAATGACTGCAGTGTATAAGGAATTTGGCATTCCAAACCGGAAAAAAGGGGGAAAATTAAAAAAACAACTCTGCCTTTACCCCCCAAAAGACAAAAAAGGAATTAAAATGAAAATAATTATTACTATTAAATGGCACCTATTATAATATACATGCATACAACATACAGCAGAGATGTAAAAATACATAATACTTTTCTTCTGCTTTACACTGTCAGCTTAGCACTTTGCACATAGCAGCCTAGCTTCCTACTGGAGAGGGAAAAAAATTGCATGGCAACTGACATGCACACAGACGGCAGCCATCACCATGGCAACCCTAATAGTACATTATATTCAAATTCATTCACAAGGACATTTCGGGGCTCAGAAAGAATTGGGAAAAAAGAAAAAAGGATGAGATTTGGGATTACAGAAACCATAGGGATAGTGAGAAATCCAGTACCAATGTACTTGTTTCTGGGACTCGGCAAAGGTTTTTGTGTTTGCGGTCCTGCTGGCAGGCCCGGGTCCCTAAAGGTCCCAGACTGCAGCTCTGAATAGTGTGTCTGGAGGGGGGGGGGGGGGGGTGCGCAGACTAGAGGCCAAAGCCAAGGTCACCCGAGACATCACAATGAAATAAGCCTGTCACTCCATCTCTCCGTGGCCACCAGCCGCAGGGATAACAATGCTTTTAATTTTGGACTTCCCTCTATTCTGCGGTTATGTATAGGAGTTGTGGCAGAAGCTGGCTGCTTGCCCACAACGTTGGCCTGAGAGCTTTTCCATAACGAGAGGAGGAGGAGGGAGGGAGGGAAGGGAAGGGAAGTGTGGGACTTGACGACGGCAGTGTGAACTACAGTGTTGTGCTCTCACAGTCAACTGATAACTAGACCTGCAATCACAAGTGTTCTCACTGATTATTTTTTTGATGCCATGCTCTCACGCTTTGGTTTATCTCTTTGTTATAAACTGGAGGGAGCTCTCAGCCAGCTTCTGTCTGAGGGAGGAGGTACAGAGTAACGAGAGGTGAAATGTGAAAGCTGCAGCTTTGAAGTCACTGGGCAGATACATGCAGCAAAATATACTGATGTATATAAAGACCAAGAACACTGGCAACTGAAGCAACACCAACTCTGCCTTGTTGAGGTCCTTATTCTTGACAGTAGTTTCTTAAAAATCTTCATTTTTCCGCAGCCTTACAGTAAGATCAGTGGATCATATAAAAATGTGGTTACATCAGTGCTGAATTCATTGCATCAAAGCCCAGGCTTGATGTGATCTCACAGTATTTATCTACATTTCAAGTTGTGTTAGACCAACTTTCCTCAGCCCTGCCCTTCCACTGCGACCCAGGGGACATGCCCACACAGAGGGCGTCCATTTCTTCTTTTGATGTTGTTTTACCCTTTGATGAAAATCAGAGAATAGTCCCTGATAGCGCTGCTGGGGCTGCAGTCTTGCTCTGCCCATGTGTTTCTTGTGTTTATTCTGACGAGACCCCAACCTGGGGGAGATTGTGGCTGTGATTCAGGAGTAAATCTTTACCTTTGAGGGTGTTGACGCCATCTTGGTGACCTTGCAAAATGACCAACTGCTTGGCACCAATCATGTAAGACTGTGGCTTACTGTGCAACAGAAAAGCTGATTACTGACTACAGCCAGGAACAATACTGTTATGAAACCATTTTTTCATCAGTAGGAGGGTTAAAAACCAATGCCAGTGACTCAAGCACAAGAGAGGCTCTGGGGCTTTGATAACTTAATTGTCCAGCCAGGATACACACAACAAGTGAATGATTACAAGTATTGATTCGATGCAACAACAAGCCTAAATTAAATGCAAGGCAGCAAGACTACAAAGCAGGAAAAGTTTTCCAGGGAGCTTTTTTAATCCTTCCATCCCTGAAGACGGCGACATTGCTGAGTCACTGTGGTGAGTTGTATGTGTGAGCGCTGTCAGTCGTGGCCCTGGATGGTAAACCTGGCAGGATGAGTTGCTGGTGCTGCGTCATGAAGGCTGGCAGAGGATGTGCGGGTTATCAATCAGCGCCATTACCCCCCTCCAGGCCCTGCCCGCAATACAGCAACACACTAGCCATTAAAAGAACATTAGGCTCCCAGCATGCCGTTGACTCTGACCGTAGCACCGGAGGAGACACATCACCTCCATGTCACTACTATAACTCACT